AAATTTACGTATGATTTATTCTTTCTATTCTGTTATATATATATATATATATAGGGGTATGTTAGTCAATTTGAAATTGCAAATTTTCTAGATGAACCCAAGGTATATTTATCATACTGATATAACCCTAGAAATATACACTCACCGTAAAGAATAGCTATCACTTTGGGTAATGTCTTGACGTAATGGGGAACAAAGCGCCTCTAAGATCTACAAGTCATGTAAGTATACACTCCCAGTATTCAGTAGAGGAAGGTTTTTTTTTAACCAACACTGTAGAGGTCCATGTTCGATTTGCTTCCCTTAAGTGGGTTCAGTCCTTTCATGCTGTGAAGCCCGAGTTTCCAAACGAAAATCGAATCAAACATGTTTTGAGGGTGCAGAAAGATAAATGCATGAGAACTGAACATCTGATTTTACGTTATTATCGCAAGAATTGTTGAAGCAGAAAAAATATTCGATTTCAGAAGCTTGTTTCAGTTTTGTTTTACCGACACCTATTGGTAAGATCTCAAAGTAAAATCTCCATTAGTATTTTAACTCCTATCAATTTAAAATGAATGTAATTAACAATTAATAAAAAATGTTATTGATATACGTAGGTTACAACGAACCTAAAATATAGATATCAGAGGTGTCGTTCCTATTACGCAGATTATATACGCGCAAATTTATTTTGCTTTACCGACACCTATCGGTAATGTCTCAAAGTAAAATCGTTATTATTTTAACTCTTATCAATTCAAAATAAATATAATTAATGACTAATAAAGGCGTTATTTATACATGTAGGTTATTATGAACCTTAACTATAGCTATCAGGAGTGTCGTGCTTATTACGCAGATTACACCTTTGGGTATAATAGTTCTATGGCATTCTTTAGTTCATTCATTTCCTTTAGAGAAAGCGGTGGATCCACCAGAAACTGCGTCACGGAGGGCAGGCATGACTTTGTATAGTGTCTAACACAAACCGACTGGACACAAGTTTTCTCAAATCTACTAGAAGTGTAAATACAGCTTATCAGAGCTAGAGATGAAATCTAAGTTTAGGGTTAAGATTCCATTAAGTTCTAATTTATTGATTCCATTAAGTTCTAATTTATTGAAAAAGTTTAATCAAGGTGAAAATGTAAATTTCAATCTTAAACATTTATCAATTTGTTAAAAACTAAAAGAAAGGGTAGAAAAAGTCTTATACTTGCATCTCAGCTAAGTATGAATAAGATGAATCTGCTCTAATTTGAACTATCTCTAACTCTAATTAACTAAACGATTAACTGGGAATACCTGGTTTTAAATACAGAAAATAAACAGAGTCCAGGTTGCTCAGTGTGTATATGGTACCAAATATCACTCTTTCTCTTATCGCAAAGACAGGTCATGACCTTATGACAGCACCCGGCTCTTGAACAGCAAAGACAACTATATATTTTGAGACCTTACAAGTAAGCCTACCGACTTATCATTGAGCCACTAGGGGGGCATATATTTGTTTACACATCGATAAATTCAGCTCGACATTTTCCTTTTAACAAACGTACCACTCGTTCTTCCAGAATTTCAAAATAATGTCGTGTTTCTGTATAACTGTTGAGCACATATCTTATCTTAAGGTGTACAATATAAGAGATGACGTCATCACTAAAACATGTAATAAATTTTAGTTACAATATGTTATAGTATTTTGTATAATCTGTTGTTGAAATTAAAAGTTAATCGCTTATACTTGTATTGACATTAATAAAGAAATGTAGCATCTTATAACATATGTAATATATTACATCTTATAATATATATATATAATACGATAAAAAGGCAAGAAATACGCGAAATTTGAAAATATTTATAAAAAAAAATACAAACAAAAACCGAAGTCTCTTTATGGCTCCACGATGAGGTCTTATAATGCTAAAATCTGTTGTACACACAGTGCAGATAATATATTGTGTAGCTTTGTGCTTAAAGAGAATCAACGTTACGAAAATTAAAAATAAATGAATTAGTACCGCACAACAATTTTTTTATGAAGTTTTAAAACCATTGTCAGAAGTTTTAATAATTCGTTTAGTTTATTAACATTTGTGTGAAATATGCTAATATCTAATAATTTTCCGAAAACCCATGCCTTTTATCTCTGTAGAAGGCAGAAATAGAAAAATCATATTTAACAAGTAACTAAAGATAAGGCCCGGCGGTTAGGGCGCTCGACTCGCAATTTGCG